AGGATAGATCCTTGGAGGCATTAGCACTTTATGCTACTACAGCAAACACTGCAATCCTTAAAGAAAAAGCAAGTATGGTTCTGAAAGGAGGCATCTGAGCTAGAGATCAGTTCCTTAGGACGTTCTTATATAGCAGTTCAGTTCTGCTTACATTGCAGGACTCTTCTTCAGGTAATCCTGGAAAATTTAGTCTTCCATTATAAATTTCAATGACAGAAGGCAGGAAGGAAAAGCATTTAATAGAAAATAAGTTGCTAGCCGCTACCATGACAGTATCTTGAGAAGCTAGATTTAAGAGTGTTGGCTTTCTAGCTGTCAAAACATAGACTGAAGATGTGTGCTACTTCAGGTAGACTGAGATACTGGGAAAGAGCACCTGCCTGTCAAAACTTCTGTCACACAGTGCAATAAATCTGGGGAAAGCTGAAGTCAGCCGCAAAGAAAGGATCCTTCATCTTCACTGTCTATGGAGAAGTGGAAAATTCTAGTGCTTGGGAAACTTTTTGAAGCAGTTAAAAATACTCACCTGTTGGGTGTTGGTGCATGATCTTCGTTTAACAGGGAATTTGTCTGGAAGGTAGAGGAAGAGAAAAGTCTGCCTTGAGATATTGTCTTGGTGTTGAGTTAATATCCTTTAAAGCATCGAAAGAATATATTTTTGCTTCTCTTGTGCCATTCTCCATAATACAGGAGATTTCCAATTGAAAAAAAAAAAAAATCCTACCTTTACGTGTGCTGGATCTGCTAGTCTGAATTCACTCAGACTATGAAAGGGAGCAAGATCAAAGGCACCGTTTATAGCTGTCTTGTTAATCCCAGGAGTATTTTATCACATAAATTAGGAAGGGAGAGGGAAGGAAAATCCTTTTACACTGCTTTGGATTTTGACATTAAACACTCCTCAGTTGTTCTGCTAGCTAAAATCTGCTGTGCTATTGGAAAGTGATTAATGCAGTCATGTCATGCAATTAACAGTGACCCATGAAAAAAACAACTACAAAGCGTGTATTAAATCCAGAAAAATGTATTAGGAGAAAACCCAGAGCAAGCAGAATGTACCCTTATTGTTGTTGTTGTTTTCACTGGCTTTGTTGAAATACTTCTTGTCATGGAAAATACCTTTTTGACAAGAGGATGGTTTTGTGTTTAAAGCATGAAACCATAACCAAGATGACATGGGCTCAGTTGCAAATTTCTGCAATACTGAGACTCTGGGTAAGCATGAACTTGGAAGCATTGAGGAAGCAGGAGTACTACAGCTGTGCAGTCCTTCCAGAAGAGGAGGCTAGCCTTACCAGGTAGTGGAAGGGAGTGCCTTCTCTGTTGGCACACTAACATTGCCAGGAGCGTCCTCAATCCTCTTAATCGATTCAGGCTTCCTCAATAATGCCATAAAGTTTGATAGCAGCTGCTTCCTTTTACCACAATTGGGTATTAAAGGCTTCCATAGAAACCATAAAGAGAAAGCCTATTCTCTTCTGCATAAAGCATGTGTGATTCAGGTGTTGAATGTCTTTCTTATTCACTCTACTACATTTAAGATACAGCACAATAGGAAGCCGCTTTGAAGCTCAGAGTGCCTCTCACAAAACGGAAGTTTCAAGATCTTTTTTATATTCTTAAGTGCACTTTCTAGAGGATTCCTGTGTATAAGCATGCTCAAGAGGAATGTACTTTCAGAGAGCACACAAAACAGTGGTAATATAAAGATACAGTTGAGTGCATCTGAGTGGCTTTCTTTTCTTTCTTTCCTATCCAACATACATAGGTTTTGCTGTAGCCTTTTTTTTCCACTCAGGTGCCACTATAACTGTTTTCAAAAAAAAACTTATTTAACATGGTTTTTTTTGTGGCTTTGAGAGGCTTATAGTTATAGGCATTTATACAGCCTTTCATTTGAAGGAGTGCTTAGGGTGTCTGCCCATTTATTAGTTTGAGGGTGTATAGTGATCTGTTCACTCTGTGTGTCCACTTCCAGGCATGTCCTGTCTCATCAGTATGCAGAGTAAACAACTACTGGGAAAAGGAGAGACAGTTGCCAAGTTGGCTTAGTTTCGAGTGAATTTGGAGAGGAGCCTGTGGTTTGACTCCTACCTGGTGGCGGCAAGGATGGGTTAGTTGGCAAAACTGGCATCCCAAACCACAGCAGCGAAGTCATCCAGATCTCTGAAGTCACCCGTCACCAGAGCTTGCCCCCCTGCCACCAAGGTCAACGGAAGCTATGGAAAACAATCCAGGAGATAACAGAGTTTAGGGAACTGCAGTCATCTTGATTATATTTTTGAGCAGTCACGCTGTTTGCCCTCGTATGTTTTTCTCCCCCTAGTAACTATTGAACATACTGAGAAGTCTGCCAGCTTCAGCTGAGAGCAGGGTTTTCAACCATGCAAGTTTTCCACTGACTTTGGAAAATTGGTAGCTGGTTATTGAAGAGATGCATTGAAGGAAAATGTGCACTACAACTCCAGCAGACATCTACACGTTTGAGCTTGCTGTCACCAAGTTGTCGTACATATATCATCATCACATAGTCATGGCCAGACAGTAGATGTGTACAGCTTAGCTGTTCAAGGGACCCAAAGGCCAGGCAGTGTGTATGCAGCTCAGAGTCTTGTCCAGAGGGGAGCAAGGGGACAAATACAGAAGTGTGAGATACTGACTGAAGAGGAGGAGAGCTAAAGGCAGTGCAAAGGACAGAGGTTCCAGTAAAAGATCTTGAGGTTATGACATGGAAACAAAGAACATAAACCCAGGCCATACCAGTGCTACTACTTGTTTCTTCGTACTATCATTCAGCTGGTTTGGGATCATTCTTGATTACAGTGTAGCTTCGTGTTAAATTGCAGCATCGGGATTCAGTAACAAAACCATAAGACAGTTTGAGGATCACCTTCCGTGCCCCACTCCCCTTTCTGCACACGCAGCCTGCTCGCTGCATCCAAGGACTGTATTCTCCTTGGCATCATGCTGCTTGCAGTGTCTGTAAGACATGCCAGGAGAAAGACCTCTGTGCTGAGCAGCAGTCAGGACTGCCTCTGTGGAAGCCCTACACCTGAAAGGTTCTCTTTTGTCTCAGCAACAGCCTAATTCACTCCTTTTCATCTCTTGTGGTCCTGTTGTCTATGAATGCCTTGTTTTCCTTCTTCCTCTCTCTCTCCCCGCCACCGTGATGAACATCTGCTGTTCTGATTTGGGGGTGCTCACACATGTCTACGTCAATACACTCCAGAGTGCCCAAGAATGTTCCTGAACACTGGAACACTGTCCTTTGCCCTGTTAATACCCTGTTAGCCTCTTCCCTGGTGTGGCCTTGGCCCATACCAGACTGCCAGTTGGAAATCCCGCAGAAAACTCTCAGTCATGGCTGGAAGATTAGAAACTTCCAAAGACATACACTTTTCCACCTGTGGAAAAAGGATTCCATTTGCCAGCAGCTCTCTCGTTTTGAAGGCTGATAGACATTACTAGTATAGGCCACGCACTGTGTGCCAGATGTGTTCCATGGCTAGGAGCATTTCTGAGCACAGTTAGTTTTCTAGCTTGAACTTATATCGGAACTTAGATGAGCTTGGAAGTGTGTGCCCAACTTCATACATGCTGTGTAAGACTTTCAGGAAGACAAAGACATCAAACTTTTGGGAAAAAATAGCCCTGTTCCAGCCCTATTCCTTAAATTTGTACAAACTACTGTGACTAGTGTATAGGCCAGTACCTGTGCCACCCCTGAAAACCTGGGCAAACAAGTGTAACTCCGCTAATTCTCAGTGTTGCAGAAGTGAACTGGTGTTTTTTTCCCTTTGCAGTTCGAACATGTCCCAAGCTTCGGGCTCCTGAAAACGGACACATTAATTGTTCAACGACTGATATCTCCTATAAGACAGTATGTTTTGTGACCTGCAATGAGGGCTATGAAATAGAAGGAAACACCAAACTCACCTGCCAGGGAACCTCACAGTGGGATTCAAAGGAGCCAAAGTGTGTGGGTAGGTATCTGATCACACTCTGTTCACATAAGAGTGCAGCCTTTTCTGACATGCTGTCACAAGTGAGAAACTCCCTATTTTAGTATCTGGTGAGGCTAAGATAGGAACGAGGATTTGTCTATGGATATTTTGTACAAGTCTTCGAAGTTGGGGAGGGGCAAAGGAATTTGTAAATGGAGATAGTGAACAGATTATCATTGAAATCCAGCACGGACAACTGATGACTGAAGGATTATTGCATTTGGTGAGTCTCAAGATGCTGTCACACAATGTGTTGTAGGAAACACGCAACTTATAGGTCTATACTACAGATGAAATGTGAACAATCAGGGGTTGTTCGTCTTAAAGCTAAAGATGACCTCCAGACAAGAGCTAAGCACTTAGCCAGGCACCATGAGTGCCGAGTAGAGATGTGGCAGTTGTCACTTGCTGAACTCTCAGCAGTTTTTTTTTAGGCAAGTTAGGGACCAAGAGACTCTCAGGCAGGATTCAGAGGTCACACCAGCTGCACAGGGATAGATAACCATTTATTGCTGTTCCAGAAATAAAGGACTGTAGATTTCAGAAGTACCCATTTAGGACTAGTGGCAGGTATTAAATTAACTTAGAGACTAAGTTAATTAACTTGACGACTAAACTGGTCAAGGGGCTGGAAAATAAAACTTATGAGGAGCAGCTGAGGGAATTGGGGCTGTTTAGTCTAAAGAAGAGGAGGCTGAGGGGAGACCTGATTACAGCCTACAAATACTTGAGAAGGGATGGTGGG